TTTGTGTGATGACGAACTGTTCTGTGTTGTAATACATTGGTATTGCCCAATGCAAACGAAATTCGCATAAATTTGACATTTGTGACGACCAATTCTTGTGCACACATTGAAATTCAGTTTTGAAATTCGTTTTTCTTTCGCATTCACGGCCAAGTCAAACAATTTTTTTTATCTTGTCTTTGTATATTCCGCATTTAGTTTGGAACAGTCGATCATCATTCAAATGTAAATGCCTTTAGTTCAATACGTATGAATAACGGTCATTGGGATGGTTATCAATGGTGCGTAAGTGATGGTATTTATTCGTTTCGTCGATAACATGTAAATCATGTTGATGATAATATTAACAGAAACCAATACAAGCAAATACATTCCAATGGTACGATTGTACACTTAGATAAATATGTGAATAGAGATGGAATTTTCGTGAAATCGTGTGTGCTATATTGTTTTGTTTTCAAAGTTTCGGGGCATCGAAAACGACGATACAGACGTGTACATTCGCATAAACGTGTACACAAAACTGAAAGTTATAAATCTTATCGTATTGAAGAAGAGAGTTCGGACGGAGTTCGGACGGTCGGTGGGTCGTTTGACTTGTTATCAATTTGTGACCGTGATTTTGATTGGATTTTTATCTATCTGTATTCATAATTACATTGAATGTAAACGTTGAATGGTTTTGTAAACAATAGATAATAGATTGTTTAAAACGAAAGCCGTGTATATAATTGAAAACAATAAAAAATAAAAACAGCAATCGATTGATCTGTTTGCATTCAAAATGTTGGGAAGTAATTTTATTCGAAATTCACTGCAATATTTGGCATCAAAACCATTGAATCAACGATGGGCTTCAACGATTGCCGCTGCAAATCAAATACAAGCAAAAAATCTACAAGAAACAGCATTGGCCGAAAATTGTATTCTAGTCGATGAATTTGATCGGGCAATTGGACAATCATCGAAACGAGATTGCCATCGTGTCGATGAAAACGGCCGTATTAAATTACATCGTGCATTCAGTGTATTTTTATTCAATTCTAACGGCGATATGCTCATCCAAAAACGATCATCACATAAGGTATGCATGTATCATAACCTATGCATGAATCACACACATTTCACACCATTTTCACTTTCCTCCACAGATTACCTTCCCAGATTGTTACACAAACGCTTGTTGTAGTCATCCGTTGTATGATATTGAGTGTGAACGAGACGAAGTTAATGCGCTGGGCATTAGAAAAGCTGCACAACGACGATTGAACTATGAGCTTGGCATTCCACTGAACCAGGTAAATTACCTTTACAAACTCTCTTCAACATTATGACATTTTCGATTGAAAAAAAAAACTGTTTTTTTAATGTGATGTTTTTTTCATTGGTAGGCAAGACCAGAGAACTTTCATTACTTAACAAGGATTCATTATGAAGATGTTGGAGATGGCATTTGGGGCGAACATGAAATTGATTACATTCTATTTTTGCAAAAGAACGTTGACCTAACACCGAATCCAAACGAAGTCAGTGAAGTTTTCTATATTCCACGGAACGAGCTGGAAAGGTAGCAATTATTTTTTTAAATATTCAAACAATGTTTTTTCTTCTAATCAATGGTTCTTTTTAATGTTTGCAGTGAAATTCAACGAATAACCTCAAATGCACCATTAACTCCATGGTTCCGTTTAATATTAACCAACAAATTGTTAACCAATTGGTGGGATAATTTAAGTCATTTGAAACAACTTCAAAACCATCAAACCATCCAGAGATTATAGATGTATCGTCGCTTAATACCTCGGTCGAAACATACCAAAAATTAAATCACCACTTCATTTTTATTACAAAATGAAATATTGTTAAAACATGTAAATTGTTAAAAAAAAGAAACTTTCTTTATTCATCATCAGGTAGAAGAGATCAAAACTAATTAATATACAAATGATGTTTTAAATGATCGACAAATGAAAGTGAAATGTTGTTTTTACTGAAGATGTCTAGTCTGATTTAGATGTCAATTTACCTTTTTTGTTGTTTATTTTGTTAAATTAATACTCTATATGACAATATGGAAAATAAAACTTCAATGACACCATTGTAAAGTAAATTGTCTTCCAAATAAACGATACTTATTCAATGAGAACTTATTTTCATGATTATTTCGATTTTTTTATTTTTATTTCATTTAATTATTTTTTTTTAAATGAACATCGCATAGATTCTAGAGAATAATAGCGATCGACAATTGTGCAACTCATGCCACTAAGATAGTTGCAAAACAAAAATCATTTAGACAAATTACTGGTTTAATTGAACAAGCAAACTTACAACAGGTTCTTCGTGTTTTTTTTATTCCCTTCCATTATTCTTTTATTATTTTGTCTGGTTAAATTATATAAAAGTTATCATGCAATTAATCTAAATGATATGGCAGATGTTTTAAAGGAAAATGAGTTTTGGTTCAAAATGTCAAGAACTTAAATAAAGGTAGTAAATAAATATTTTTGTTTTTTCTTTAATGATTTATTTTTAATAAGAAAGAGTTTTTAACTGTTATTGTAGATACATTACTGATTCGTCAAACTCATTTCCAAGCAAATAATTCTATCAGTTGTGTTTTACATATTTCTTTCTGAATTCCTGGGTAATATTGGCCTAATGTTTATTTTACGCAGCATTCATTCTTGCACCAATTCAATATTGTTGCGAGCGTTGTAAGCAAATCCAAAGCTGAGCTAACTTCGCCAAATAAAACGATGCCCAAGCCAGTAGCTCGCAAAGACTGCAATTTTTCCAAACATCTAGCTGCTGCAAAACTGTTAGCAAATCCGAGGAATCGAAGAAGTGTTACACCCAATACACCACATCCAACCAGACCACCAACTGCCATCAATCTTATTTTCACCAAGTTTTGTTCGCAAATAGTTGGACTATCGCATTTTGAGCATGTTTTCCAATTGAAAATTTCCTTCAATTTGTTTTCATCAATTGATGTTTTTCTGATGTTTGGCAATATCGTTGATCTTTTGATGTTGGTCAGTGTTATTTCACTGGATGATACTATCTCGCTGACTGGTACTAAATCAGCAGTAACGATATTTTTACTTTTACAGTTATTATTACACCAATCCAATTTATGTAGAACCTTTGAAACCAAACGCATTGCTGTTCTTAAATCGCCAAAGAAAAGCACGCTTAATCCATCGTCTTTCAAAGATTTCAGAGCATCAAATAGACGGTTGGCAGCAAAAGTATCAATATTCGAGTACCAAGTGTTGTCGTTAGCACGCATGAGTGCTATCATGTCACCACCCTCTGAATATCCTCTTGCAAAGCCACTAGCTGCCACTATTCTTAATTTCAATAAGTTTGATTCACCGAACAGAGGTTTTTTGCATTTTGAGCATGTCTCCCACTTGAATTTTGCACTGTTATAGTCACAATCATCATTACACCAGCCCAATCTTGCTGCCAGAGTTGCAAGCAAACCCAAAGCTGAACCGATTCCGCCAAATAAAAGTGTTCCCAAACTGGTTGCTCCTAAAGATTGCAATGTTGCGAACAAACTACCGGCTGCTACGCTACCAATTACTGATTGCCATGATGCGGCAAATGATCCAGCGGCCACACCACCGGCGGTAAATCCAAGAAACGGAAGAAATGCTATGCCCAAAGCACCACCACCAAATAAACCACCAACTGCCATCAATCTTATTTTCGTTAAGTTTGGTTCACAGACATGTGGCCGATCGCATTTCGAGCACCTTTTCCAACTAAAAATATCCTTCAATTTACTGTCATTTTTTGCGGTTTCTTCGCTGTTTGATGTTGTATTCTCTATTGCCATTTGCTTGTTGCACAGTATTATTTGACTGGACGAAATTATGCTATTGGTCCGTACAAGCTCCGTAATAAAAGCTCCGTTACAATTATTTTTGCACCAATCTAAATCTTTTGATTTCGTACCAAGTAAAAATAGCGCGGATTCTGTATCGCCAAAGAAAAGCACGCTTAATCCATCGTCTTTCAAAGATTTTAGAGCATCAAATAGACGGTTTGCGGCAAAAGTGTCAATATTTGAGTACCAAGCGTTGGCGTTAGCATGTAGCTTCATGAGTGAAATCATGTCACCGCCTTCAGAACATCCTCTTGCAAAGCCCCCAGCTGCTACTATTCTTAATTTCAATAAATTCGATTGATCAATTAGTGGTTTTTTACATTTCTGGCATCTGTCCCACTCAAATTTTGCACTATTGTAGTCACAATCATCATTACACCAACCCAATCTCGCTGCCAGAGTTGTAAGCAAACCCAAAGCTGAACCGATTCCGCCAAATAAAAGTATACCCATACCAGTTGCACCTAAAGATTGCAATGTGGCAAACAAACTACCAGCCGCAACAATACCAATACTTGATTGCCATGATGCAGCAAACGATCCAGCAGCTACACCGCCAGCGCCAAATCCAATGAGTGGAAGAGCAATAGCGCCCAATAAACCACCTCCTAACACACCGCCACCTATCATATATCTCAATTTTTTTAAATTTGATTTACAGACTTTTGGTCTGACGCATATAATGCACTTATCCCACATTGTTTCTGCCTATTAAAAATGTGAAGAATATTTTAGAATACAAAAATAAATATAAATGTCCATATATACCTGTTGTTTGTCGAGTTAAATTGTTTTTTGGTTTCCTATTCAGACAAAAAAAAGTTGAAATTGACATTTGCCGCTCAGTTTTCTTTTCTTATCTCAGTTTGTGCAATTCTAAATCAATGAAATGTACTTTGAAATTTCACGACGCATATGCAACTGTCATTATATATAAATCTCACGTGTGGATACTTAATTTTTGTGTTGTGTCAAAATACGGGGGGAAAATGTTTGGAATTTGAATGTATTCTGAATATTATCCAAATTTTAATCGATATTTGAAAGTGTATGACACAATTTATAGTTTTTACACATGAAAAATTCACCGGACAGTGAAATTCACAATGACTTACTTTATTATTACAAAATTGACAACATTTG